GGCGCCGAGCTTTGTGTGCGGCCGCGGGCCCGGGGCGAGCCTCGGGCGGCCCAACTTTGCGGCTCCTAGCCGGCTCCCAGGCGGGAGTTGTGAGGCGTGGCTGGGTGGAGGAGGCGCTTGGGGGGGCGTGGGGCTCCCCGGCGGGCGGGAGGACCGAGCGAGCCGCGCTGGACAATGAGCTGGGCAGCTCGACGCTGCGGCCACTTTTAGGGGGGGCGCGACGCGGCCGCTGCCTCCGCGGCCCCACCTGCAGGGAGAGGGCGGGATGTCAGAGCCAGGTGTCCCGGCGCTCTGAGCCCCCTTGCAGTCAGGCGTCCCTGAACTGGTTCCCGCATTGACACCAGGCTACCTGGAGGCTTTGGCCGGGACGTGTTTTTCGTGGGGAGCCCTCGGTGCAGCCGTGATGGCCAGCACCAGAAGTATTGAGCTGGAGCACTTTGAGGAACGGGACAAAAGGCCGCGGCCGGGGTCGCGGCGAGGGGCGCCGGGCTCCTCCGGGGGCAGCAGCAGCTCGGGCCCCAAGGGAAACGGGCTCATCCCCAGCCCGGCGCACAGTGCCCACTGCAGCTTCTACCGCACGCGGACCCTGCAGGCCCTGAGCTCGGAGAAGAAGGCCAAGAAGGCGCGCTTCTACCGGAATGGGGACCGCTACTTCAAGGGCCTGGTGTTTGCCATCTCCAGCGACCGCTTCCGGTCCTTCGATGCGCTGCTCATGGAGCTCACTCGCTCCCTGTCAGACAACGTGAACCTGCCCCAGGGCGTCCGCACCATCTACACCATCGACGGCAGCAGGAAGGTCACCAGCCTGGACGAGCTGCTGGAAGGTAGGAGGGGAGGGCCCGGCGCGGCAGGTGCGGCCCAGCAGGTGCAGTGGCCGCCGGCCGCGCGCGCACGCCCGCCCCGCGCAGGGGGGGAGCCTGCGGGGTGTTTTCTAGGCGGCCATGGGAATTCTGCGGTTCTGGCTGCTTTTCCGTAGGCTCTGTGTGTGGGGCGCGTTCCCACATGTACTCTGTTTTTCCCAAGAGATTTTTCTTAAAGAAGAAAAAGCAAAAAAATTCCTAACGGGCTTTCGTTGGAGACATCCTTCAAGATTGGCGAACTTGCTATTTTATTTTTTGAAGTGCGAACTGTTTGAAAAAGTGGGTCTCCCGTAAGGATCTGGGTAACCCTCTAGTTAATAAGCTGTCTGTTCAGCCCTCTGTGTGAACCTCGGTGCGGGCACTTGTGGTGTTCCAGCTTATGGGGCCCTCTTGTACCTGCTCTGTTCAACGCTCTAGGTTGGCTTTCTTGGTTTGGCTTGCAGCAGAAGTTACATGAGGTCAGGAGGGGTGATCCTAGACAGTGGTTCTCAACCTTGGCTGCATCTTGGATCACGGGGGACTTTAAAAAATAGGGGTGCCTGCCCCCGCACCCATATTCGGATGTAATTGGTTTGGGGTGTGGTCTGGCCATCTGGAGTTTTAAAAGCTCCCCAGGTGACTTGAATGTGCAGCCAAGGCTGAGAACCACTGGGAAAGGGTTTTCCATGTTTGGTTGGTAATGAGGTGAATCAGGGTCAGTCTCTCTTGCCTCCTCCCCTGCTGAAAGTAGCTAGTTAGGATGATAGGTAGAGGCCATTGGAGTCAGCAGTTGGGGCCTATTATAAATTAGTAATCTTAGAGTGTGAACTACGTTATTCTCAAAGGGACTGCTTGGCTGTATGTTGTGTCATCCTTGAATTCCTGCGATATTTACTCTTCTTTCTTTTTAGGGAGGAAAAGCATTACTAAGTAGTTAAGAATATATTTCCAGGTCTAAACAGCACCTATAAAGATCAGACAGAACCCAAGTATGTGCTGACTGCATATTTACATACAGTCTGCTCCCATGCATCTTTCTTAATGGAAATGGCACATTCCTTGTAGCAATATTGACTTGGCAGAGAAAGGAAACCGAACTTGGAGCCAACTGTTTTTCTTATATTATCTCATCATGTTCTTATATTATGTTCTGAAGGCCTTATGCCCATTTTACACATGAGGAAACTTAAGCAACGTGCCTTGTCACACAGTAGCTGCAGTATATGCTCCTTCATCTACAGTTCACTGCCAATAAATTGATATAGCTACTCGGAGGAGTAGTATATAACCACGGGAAAGTGGTTGAGTTTATCTGTTGAGTTGCTGTTACCAAAAGTTTTCTTTGCCCTGGCTACATGAGGACCCAACCAAAATTAAGTTGTCTGTTAGTCTACATGTGTGTTTTTTGACTTCACACGTGTTGTCTTAGTCAATTGTGTGTTTTGGTTTTAAAGGCATCCTGAGGTGGTGATGACAACAGGAGGAGTGTAAGTAAAAGGAAGACACGTTGTTAAAATGTCTTTATCATGCTAAATACTTAAAAGCAACATTTGCCTAGATATTTCAAAACTGAGTAACCAATTTTCTGACTGACCCAAGGCTAGATTAGCAGCCCTGTGGAAGGATCGAGGCAATGCCTATTCCTTAAGCGCTTATTACTCACATGCCCTTGGGATACCGTGCCCGGTGTGGTCTGAGGAGGGACGGCAATTTTAATATCCTTCTCTAAAGTAATTTTAACAGTGTGTTTGCTACATGAGATTAATGGACTCCAAAGATGAATATCACCATAGGGGAGAAGATCAAGATGACCATTGTGTGCATTAATTAACGAGAGCATGTACTGTACGTTGAGTTTATCATTGCCCAGGAGGTGCGTGGTCCACTGAGTTGAATCCTCAAACTGTAGTTTCAGCTCTAAATTGAAGGTTGACAAATTTCCTTCCAATCATTCATTCACTGATTTTGAAGGACGGGGAACCATAAGTATGTAAGGGTCCAATTTACCCCACAATATGATGAATAATGATAGTTATAATACAGATATTTGCACAACAGAAATGTTTCCCTAATCAAGCCAATTGCCCACTTGTTTCAAGCAGTATTCAGTATAACAAAATTACTGCAGAAGAAGAAAATTTGTGCCCTTCTTTTGTCATAGTGGCATTCTCTCTGACAGTGGATCTTTGTCTAAGTCTTGAGTTTCCCACAAAATGAGTGGAATACCCTGTTGCAAGGCAGTTTCTAAGAAGAGAAAGAATCATCAGTGTTTAATATCAATCACTTGAAAATTTAAATAGTTTCAACTTTTAGTTAAAATTGTGTGTGCGAGTGTTCAAATTTATCATGCAGAAGAACTAACAGGCTACCTGTGGAGTTGTTATCTGCATCAGTAAAAATAGGTTTGTGGTATTGCCCGTATTGTCAAAATTGACTATTGTGTCTTAGTTCATTGTTTTTTTTTTTTTTTTTTTTTTTTGGTGTTTTAATAGTTTACAACATTGTGAAATTTTGGGTTGTACATTTTTGTTTTTCCATCACCATATATATGTCTCCCTTCACCCCTTGTGCCCACCCCCTACCCCCATTGCCCCTGGTAACCACAATACAGTTTTCTCTGTCCACGTGTTGGTTTATATTCCACATATGAATGAGATCATACAGTGTGTGTCTTTCTCTTTCTGGCTTATTTCACTTCATATAATACCCTCCAGTCCCATCCATATTGTTGCAAATGGGACGATTTTGTCTTTTTTTATGGCTGAGTAGTATTCCATTGTATATATATACGACATCTTCTTTATCCACTCAGCAGTCGAGGGACATTTAGGTTGCTTCCACTTCTTGGCTATGGTGAATAATACTGCAGTGAACATAGGGGTGCATAAGCCTCTTTGGATTGTTGATTTCAGGTTCGTTGGATAGATTCCCAGTAGTGGGATAGCTGGATCATAGGGTATTTCTATTTTTAATTCTTTGAGGAACCTCCATACCGTTTTCCATAGAGGCTGTACCAGTTTGCATTCCCACCAGCTGTGTATGAGGGTTCCTGTTTCTCCACATCCTCTCCAACATTTGTTGTTTTTTGTCTTAGTTCATTGTTGTTAGTAAAGATTCTCTGATACTGTTTTTTTACACCATTATGTTTGTCCTCTCCTCTGGCTCTTCCATCCCATGAAATTTGTAGGTTAGGAGATATTGTTTTTCCTAAAACATTTTTCTAAAATGTTCTTAGTGGAGAATAGAAAGTGATGACTCAAGACAGTCGGGCACGAACACTCATTCAGAGCCCCAATGCCCTTGAATTCAGATGACAAAAGAAATTTGCATGGCCCAGATTTTTTCTTCTGCCCTTGACCTTGCGAGTCTCTGGAGACTAAAAACAGTGTTCAGGTGTTGGCTGGCACTCCTCCTGAGCTGCACTAAACCAGCAGGCATCTTCAGCCTATTGCTTTACCTCCCTTTGCTAGATTAATTTCACTGAATTGGTGCTGTGCATCCCTGTAATCCTGTTTATTCTAAAACTGAATGAAGATCTCTCAGAGGAAGACCGTGAGTCATAACAGTCAATATTGGGAAAATCAGGTTGAGCTATCTGAGGCCACGAGCCAGCCAAGCTCGTAGCATCTCTGGTAGACACCTGAGGATGTCCAGATGACTCGTTCTTAAGTTCTCATGTTCAAGGCTAAGAGTCAGAGCTCCTAGTCTTAGTTTTGTTCCATGAGTGTTCTCCCCATCTGGACATTTTGGCTGTATTTGTAAAATTTTGGTGGCATGAAGAGATATGCTCACAGATAGTAGAACCAGTGCCTGACCTAGTCAGAATCCCTGGGTTTTACTAACTGTGGATTTGAGAAACATTCACTTCACTTCTCTGGACCTCAGTGTCCTTTTCTGTTGAGTGAGAGGTTGACAAATCACCCCTCTAAGTTAGATCCCTTCTAGTCTAAAAGTATATATCTTTCCCCTACCTAAGTAGTTAATTGCTGAGTGTATGGCCTGGGCTGCCTTTCCCTACCCACAACCTGTCTTCTAGAAAATTGGCGAGGCTGCAGATGTCTTACTACCAAGCAGTGAATGGGTGTATGGCTCTGATGAAGTATTTGCTAGGAGCCAAGAAAACTAATAGCTACCTGTCTCTGCCTCTCTCATTCCAAACTAAAATGTCATTTTGTGTTATTTCTACCTCAATCAACAGTAAATAAGCTTATTGAATTTTTTGGCATATGAGAGAATTTTTATTGTTTTACAAGTGATACTTCCATTCTTCCATTAAGTTAACCTGAAAATTAGCTTGAGTTAACTTGAATTTAAGAAAAATAAGGTTCTAAAGAAATAAAGCACTTTAAATCTCTGAAGTTCTTCTACTAAGCCTAGTTTATTGAATCTGTTTGGTTAGGTCAGTCTCTTTGAAGGTGTTACACCAAAATACAGTTACTGAGAGCATCTTTAAGTAAAAATGAGTCTCCTGAAGAACCCAGATTATAGGGTTTTTCCCCCCAAAAGGTAGATTTTTATAGTAATGATAGAAACTGAGCTCTTGGAACTTGTTCTGTGAGGAAAGAAATATAAACCCATGAATTACAAAATATTTGCACCTAGACGTCAAAAGCAATACACATTAGAGGTATATATGATAATTAGACATGGCCATTTAACACTGAATTTTAGGTCTGCAAAGCCTTTTCTCCCTGGCAGACTCCTAGATTCTTCAAGACCCACTTCAAATATTACCTCCCTGTGAAGTCTCTTCCCAGAACTCAAGGATGTTGGTCTCAAATAGTTGTTGATCGAGAGCATATTTGTTGTTATTCCAGGTGCTGGGGGTACATTTCTCCTCTCAAGATGCTCACATTCTAGAGAAAGAGAGATAGTGAATGTGTACACACACACACACACACACACACACACACACACACACGTGCGCACGCACAAAGATGGTTCCAGCTGTGAAGTGCTGTAAATGAAGTGGTAATGAGATGGGG